TGGGTGGGTCCACCTGGCCCAAGCGCTAAAATCGCAAAGGGCGGCGTCGGCCCAGAATTCAGACCCAAACGGCGACTCTACCCCGAGGCTCACAGAGACCATGTCGTGTTGTCGGCAGCTCTACTTCTTCACGGTGGAGTTCGGCCTGTGCAAGCAGGACGGCGAGATCCGCGTGTACGGGGCGGGGCTGCTGTCCTCGGTGGCAGAGCTGCGCCACGCGATCGAGGCCCACGACAAGATCAAGCGCTTCGACCCAGAGGTCACCTGCCGGGAGGAGTGCATCATCACCGCCTACCAGAACGCCTACTACTACACCGACAGCATCGAGGAGGCCAAGGAGAAGATGAGGTGTGCGCGATGACAGACGGGTGAACGTCCCCTGGTCTAGTAGTGCTGTGTCGCCTCATGCCGCCCACGTCTGTTGCAGGAAGTTCGCCGGGCAGATCCAGCGACCGTTCGGGGTGCGCTACAACCCCTACACGCAGAGCGTCGAGGTGCTGAGCAACGCGCAGAAGATCGCGGCCCTCGTCTCGGAGCTGCGCGGGGACCTCTGCATCGTCAGCAACGCCATCAGAAAGATACACGACGTGGACGACTCGGTCGACGTGCACGGCCTGGCCAACATGCTCGCGAAGGGCATCCGGGTCGACAGCAGCGAGGAGGGCGAGGACGACCTCGGCGACGAGGACGAGGACAAAGACGAGGGTGGCACCGAGAAGTAGGGGAGGTGTCAGAGGCCTCTGCGACAGCATCTCCTCGTGTCATTTACAGCATTCGAAAGCGCTATATTTCTTAATCAGAATTGAGTCATTGATAAAGAATATGGTCAAATAATACTTCTAACTTGATTTAAAATTTTATTTTTGGAATAATTGTTGAGCTTAATTAAAAAGGGAAGTTTACATAATGATGATCAGTTCTTCAAAATTAAAGGGAAATCTTACATAGCAGCAGCTGAGATAGTACTGTAGTATAAATAAATATTCTGGCGTTCATAATATTCCCCTTGCTAAACATCAAATCTTTCATAGCAAATATGCAATCCCTCTTCTTCATATTCTTCTTTTGTAACAACAAAACTATAAAACTCTGGGTGTTTGCTAAGGAGTGCCCCTCCTTCCCAAGCATAAGTAAGCGGACTGTAAATTGAGTAAATTACACCATAAGTACAGGTCGTTGAGGTACACAAGTCCACCATACAAGATTGAAGATTAATTACTTACTTTTCTGGCAAAGTTACCCTGACGTTAAACTCATCAGGGGCTAATTTTCTTACATCCTGTAGTAGCCTCTTTTGGAAATTGGGGAAAAGGGAACATCCTCCAGTAACAACTATGTTGGAATATAAATGGGGCTGTGTCTCTTTTGGACAAGAGTTTATACTAGAAACTATGGCTTCAGCCACACCCATCTGTTGCACACCCAAGTCAGATGGTTGAAATAAAATTTCTGGTACCGCAAACCGTTCATTGTTCATTCGCAAGGTCTATAAGGGACACAATAAAATGTTGAATTGTTAATTTTAAATAAACCATAATGAGCACTGATAGATGAATGAATGAATGGTACAGGAAAAGTTACCTGTTCTCCATCAGTGCTCTTGCTTGTTTCTTCCAGAGTTCTCAGGAAACCTCTTCGAATAGATGTGAAGTCAGGAAGAACATAATCTCGCACAATTGTATTATCGTTACCACGTTTCCGGGCAACTTCCATATCAGCCATAAAATCCAGGGACACGAAACAAGAGTCTTCTTTGACCTGATTAATAACGTAAGTTTCGTCCATGACATGCAGCTGTCTGTAACCGGCACAAAAGTTTGTAATGAATCACATCAGATCAGGCAGACAGCATCGAAAGTAACTAATGCTTTTAAAAACCTACCGATAAGAAATAATGTCTTTCAGGTGGTTAGTTAGTGCTTTGCCACCAACATCTATTCTTTTGATACCCTCTCTTCTTTTCTTTCCCTTAATGTATGGTGTGACGTGAGAGAAACTGTAGCCCACATCAACAACCATGCAAGCCAAGGTTCCAGGATTATTACTTGTGTAGTGATAGTTACTAAGATCACCAGCTAGGGAGAAAAAAATTATTTCATAAAGAAGACAAGTATTGTATATGATATGGTTAGGCAATAAATATCAAAACAAAATCTGAAACCTTACCATTGATTCTCAGTAGAGACTGACATTCATATTCTTCAAAAAATATTTCTGTCATTGCTTCTTGAATAGAGGGAAAATTAAAGTACGGTTCAGTAACAATTAGAGGTGTTTCATTAAAATTGACTGGGCAACAATCCTTGCCAAAAATGTGGTCCCAAATAGTTTTTTGAATATCCCAATTGACCAAGTAGCCCTGAGGAAAACAAAAAGATTTTTCAGAGTTTTGACACTAACAGTTAAGAAAGAAAAAAAATGAAATTATAAACTGCGGAAAACAATCAACAAACCTTTTGAAAAGGAAGTATGTAAAATAAACCAGAAGCATCACGACATTCCTCAACTTGGTCAGCTATGAAAGGTCTTCTTCTTTCGCTTTTGGCCTTCATGACACTATTTGGAATAACTCTGAAGAAAAAGAACATAAATTAAATGACACATTAGTAGTTTGTTTCTATTAGGTTGTTGAAATTCATGCAGGAGACAGGTTTGGATTAAAACAAATAAACGAAATTCTGAAAAATTACCTGACTGTACAGTGACACAGTGCCAATTTGAAAGTTTCAGAAGTGAGTTGTTGAGAAAGGAAAAATGAAAACACCGGTATATATGTTATAGGTTATGGGTACTTACCTTGGTTTAGCAGATGACATGCCGACTTTTGCTGTGAACCCGCCATTGTCTAGAATGTATGCTTTGTCAATCATAGTGCTTTCAAATAAGTCGGGAAGTGTATTTTGACGAATGCTCTAAACACTGTCGGAAAATCCAAATCCAAACAAACATTGAAACAAACAACTACACGTAATATCGCACCCAAATGCTCCAGTGACCCTGGTGACTACATGGAGGGAGGGGGTGAGTGAGGGGTAGGGTGAGGAGGGGAGTGAAAGAAACTTGGACGGAGCGTTCGCGTAGCCGTTCGAGGGGTCTGTGCCCTGCCCGTGAGTCAGTGACAGCTAACGGGGTTGTTTAATTACTGGATTTCTTTTGGGTTCTGGTCGATTTAAGGAAATATTGTGTATCAGCCATGTCCAAAGTAAAGCATTAGAATATTTCATACATTAGGTCAACGGACAGTATTTGAATAAAAGCTGAAAATGGCTCTTAACTTAGAGAAACACAAGGAGTCAATGGTAGCTGCATGGAGCGAGGTCGTGGATGACAAGTCCCCGACTAACTGGTAAGTTTTTCCTGTTTTAAAGTATCAGCTATAAACTTATCTCAGTTTTCTCCAAAAGTTCTCTCGTTTTCCCACACTTCGCTTGCCCGTACTTGTGGTAGTTCTGCATATATCATCTACCGGTGTTCTCTTCTGCCTTCGGTGTTTACTGTTCTGTTACATTATGTATTCGTGTTTTCCTTGTATGAATCCAGAGTACTTGATTAATCAGATGAATCACATTTTGCAGGGCTCTCTTTGGCTATGAAGGACAAACGAACTGCCTGAAACTCATCAGCAAAGGAGGTAATACATACTTCCAATTTTGTTACATGGATTTTAGTAAATAAATAACATCAGTCTTATCTTAGATTTTCAATCCTATTTCACTTTTGCCTTTAGATGGAGGTCTCGTTGAAATGGCAGAAGATTTTAACAGCGGAAGCATTATGTATGCATTTTGTCAAGTGCAGGACCCTAAAACAACCCTGCCAAAATATGTTCTAATTAACTGGGTAAGTTGGATTGTTTAGGTTTCTCTTCTTTGTCCATCCATTCTGAAAAGTTAACATTTCTCTTTGTATCTGAACCAGCAAGGGGAAGGTGCACCTGTTGTCCGGAAAGGCACATGTGCCAATCACATACGATCGGTATGTGACTTTCTGAAAGGCATTCATGTTACAATAAATGCTCGTACTGAGGAGGATGTCGACCCTAAGCTGGTTATTGAAAAAGTGTGCAAGTCTACTGGTTCAGCATACAATTTCAAGGAACGCTCTAATCTCAGCAATTCCAACAATAGTGGTCCAGTGGTCAGTAAATTTAAATAGAAATAAATCCTTCCTTACAACATACCTGCACTTCCAACTTTTTTTAACGGATTCTATTTTTCAGGGTACTGTATACCAACGTGTGAATCCAGGACAAGAAATAAACTCTAAAGAACGAGATCGTTTCTGGGAACGTGAAGAACAGGAGGAAAAAGTTCGCCAGGAAGCTGAACGTAAGCGAAGAGAAGAGGAAAGGAATAAACAAGAAGAGGAACTTCGTAAAAGAGAAGTGAGTCGTTTTCTTTTATTTTATACTTCTGTGTGTACAAATTATTGGCTGCTTTTACTGACTAAATATTCTGTTCAAATTTGTAGTTGGTAGAGTCAGCTGAGAGAGATAAACGTGATTCTGAGCTGACCGTCAAGAGACAAATTGCGCGTAGTGCTGAGAAAGTGTCTACTTGTGTTGAACAAACAGACATGAATGGTGAACTAGATGATAGAGAAAGAGAGGAAAGGGAGAGAAGAGAGCGAAGTGAGGTACTTAGAAGGCAACGAAGCGAGGTAGGAAAAAGCTATAATTACCATTTTTGCTCTTTGAATTTGACTTTGCTTTTAAGTATATTAAACCATTTGATCCTTCTTCCAGGAAGCTCAATCACTCATTGCAAAACGCACAATCAATGCAAGAGCAATTTTTGAAAAAAATACATCAGCTGGTCAATTAAGTAGTTTAGGGCGTCGTGCCTCTTTCCAACCATCCAGCGATACATCTAAAGGCAAGTGTTTTGTTGTGCATTTTAAGTTTATTTTCTAGAAACACATAATTTTTATAAATGTGTCTTTGCTAAACAGTCAAGAATGGCATCCCTAGCCCCGAGACAGTAATTCCTCCTCAAAATGTAAATAGAAAGTCCTCTTTACCTTCTTGGCCGCCTGCACAAATGGCAGTCCCATCTCAGCCAACTGAACAACCAATAGCAGAAGTTGTGTCAGTGGATGAGACTGTTCAGCAGACAGAAGAAGTATGTATTTTTTGTGCATCTATTTAAAGTGTTTCCTATATTTATGTTTGTATCTAAAACTACTCTGTGCATCTATTCTCTAGATCCCTGCCGAGACTTCAGTTCCCTCAAGTGAAGATGACCGTGATTGGGAATGTGAGTACCAGTATGAAACCATGATACAATCATGTGCTTGGAAGTACATGTTACTTCAAAGTAGAACATAAAATAATTTTAAAACTGTGCTTCACTTTTTATAGCTGAGGACTCACAGACTGGTACCATTGTGCGAAAATCTCACAAGAAAAGTACAGATATATCTGAGGAAACAGTTGACCCAAAGCTCACCAAGGAAACCACAGTACAAACAACTGTACAACCAACCATTGTGCAGGAGACAGACTCTGTTTTCTTGAATGGTGGCTCTTCAGCATTGGATGATGATGACGATGATGACGAGGATGGTGATTTAGGACTTAAAGCAAGAGCCCTTTATGATTACCAAGCCGGTAGGCCATTGTTTATTATTACAGTCAAACCCCGAATGTAGCGTTGCAAATCCTATTGACAGAACATAATACCCCCATATAAAACCACCCTGCTTATAATGTTATCCCCACTTATAACATTGTGATTTTGCTTTCCTGAGGTGCAACGCCATTTCCGGGTTTGACCAGATTATTTTGTCATCTTTTAGTTTTGTTGGACCAATTGATCTTACATTCAATTTTCTTACAGCTGACAATACGGAGATAACTTTCTACCCTGGTGACATCATTACTCACATTGAACAGATTGATGAGGGCTGGTGGCAGGGCTTCTCTCCTGACGGTACTTTTGGACTGTTTCCTGCTAATTATGTGGAACTTTTGGACTAGTTGAAGGTAAGGGGGTCAACAAGAGGGTGTGGAACAACTTTACTCTTCCATTGTCTTCTGTCTCATGCTCACATTTACGTACATGTAAGTAAAGTAAGACAGTCTCTTTGATCTAAATCGAACTGTTTCACTTTAATTAGTAGCCCAGTACAGGTATGTCTTGATTGTTTAGTCTGTTTAGACATGTCATTCCAACTGTCTGCAATGTAAGATTTTTGTGTACATAGTATATTATTAACTTTCCTTTTATCTGTCAATATGTTACTCACTGCTCTCTGTTGACAAACAACCTTCCCCATTTGGATGAATTTTCTTCATTAATCAAAAATCGTATATCTAATTCTAAATTTATCGTACACCTCAGGGTAGTCAACCAACTAAGAAGTCAGGGAAAAGTCAGGGGATTGGAAAGTTGGGTACAATGTCAAATTTTCGCACTTTTTTGTTATTTTATGGTTTTTGAGACATTGTAGGGTTTTGTGAGGCTAGACTGTTCGAAATTCCAATCAAAGTAAGGGAAATGTTCTGGAAACATCTGGGAACTCGATCACGTAAGGCCTTTATGTATTTATGTCAATATGCTCTTCAATTTGAAGTGTTCATTCACTTACTTACAATGTGTTAAATCAAGCAAGTTTAGGAGATTGGATTTTTCGTTTATACCTACTTTTAATATTCTGGCACATATATATAGTGCTACTTTTTAGTAGTACTCTGTTAATAATTCCAAGGATTTTTTGTACCTATTTTATTTTATCTGTTGAATTTATTTTTTAGAAAAGTATTACTTATTGATCAACCTAATCCATGAAGTCATGCTCCTTTTCTATACAGTATTCTAAGAAATCATGTTAACTTATTTAATGGAGTGTATTGTTCTCTTATATCTAGAACATAATTGTTTTAAAAAGTAACAATTACCCTTTGGAGTGCCATCATAAATGTGTTTTGCAAATTTCTGTTTTAACCTATGATCAGCTTTGAGCAGCAATACCTTGTGTATGTATGTGTATCTAAAGTTTTTGTCTAGATTAGTTACATATTGAAATTAATTATAAACAGTGTTATGTTGTAAATTTATTTACAACTTTCAATTGACAGATGTATTTACTGTTCCTATAAAATGTGCTGCTCTTCTCAGTGCATGTTTTCAAATTACATGTTTGAAGTATACATGTAACCAGCAAAACTTGCATTATGTAGGCGGCACCATCCAAAGGAACTTGTAGAATTCTATAGTAGAATGAGTCGAACTGTACAGGCAATTGTTGTTTGTTTGTTTTTTGTTTGGTGTATAGTACTTGTCTTTTAATTCTAAAAGCAATTTTATTAGCCCCGATGGAAGTATAATTTTTCTTCCTCCATCAACTAATGTTTTACCAATTGGAGTTTATGAATAATATCCATATCTGTCTGATAAAAATGACATCATTTTGTGTACAATGAATCAATGAATTTTATTTACCTCTGTCTTTTTGAGCCTTTGTTAAAATAAAGTATTTGTTATTTATTACTTCAATTCTGGATTTCAATCCTGCTATGGGTTGACTTCTCACCTTGATCAAGAAGCTTTTCTGAGTTTTTGAAGAGCGGTCTGCAGTTCAGTATCAACATGAAGAAGTACAGATCAATGTTAATGTATGTAAACCCCTGGGAAAATACCATATTATGAACCCTTTTAATTTGAAGAATAAGTAAACAAATCAAATGAAGGGCAGTAGCAGTTGCCATGGAGACAGTGGGGATCTAGTTCTGTTCTCAATGGTACTTGTTGGGAACATTCAGAGACAGCTGTTTATTTACCTCTGCTTACATCTTCTGTTATGTTTTGTGTCTCTTAAAAAACTTCAATAAACAATACCAAGTAACAAAAAGTTACTCATACAGTAATTGAAGATACAGAGCTCAATATGGATCCAGCAAAGAACAGCAAACCTTCTACATCACAACAACATGAGCTGACTGATGGAACAAGTCGGCTTACAACCCTTGCTCCCAATAAATACGTCAGGTGTAACATTATTTATTTTTAATTACTTCTTACTTTTTACTTTTGTATCACCCAATTATTTCCTTTTGTAGAGGTCAAGATGATATTCCATTTCACATTCCTCACAAACGGCTCTTGGGTTCTTTAGAGGTTAAAAAGAATGAAGCTGAACCTTTGGTAAGTAGAGGAAGGCAGTTTTAAATATTTCCCCACTCTTCTTCCCATTTTATCCCCTGAATTGCAAATGGAAAGAAAAGTATTGTTTTACTATCTAGCCTGGATTTACAACTCATCAGAAGAAGAGGCGAAGAGATCACAATGCCCCTGCAGAGTATCCATTTTCCCCACAAGATATGGTAGTATCTTCTTTGGAAGGATGTAAGTTCTACTTCTTTTTCTTGCTGGTTAACGCATTTTCTCCAAATTTCTGAAATTTTGTTTTTGCTCAACTGTTTTTAATTTATGAACTCTTAGATGTGTGTCAAGGTGAAGAGTCAAAACCACAACTTCACAATGGTGTTTTCAATCAGAAAGAAATCATGCAACTACTTCGCAATGATCCAAGAATTGGTTTTTATTATATGGTGTATGCTGTTCCTCGAAATCATGAGCTTTTCTCCCCCTACAACTTAAAGTCAGTATTATTATTTTTATTGTTTTAATCAATGGTTTCCAAGTTAGTCAGTTTATTTATTGTTTAAATTTGGAAAATACTGCAGGATTGTAGACTATGCTCACATTCATAAAGATTGTTTTATGACAATGAGTTCCCATGGTGTGACTCAGCATTTTCCTAATGAAATGATATTTACCCCACTTGATCAGTGGGAAAAAGAGTATGATGACTTTTGCAGGATTAGTAAGGTACTGAGATCACCGTGTGCCTAAAATCTTAATCAGATTTCTCTAATTCTTAAAACTTAAAATGCCAATATTTTCACAAACAGATTAAACTATTTTCAAAATTTCGACTGTGGAAAGCTTTCTTCATGTGGAGAAAAAGCATTACACAGGCAAAGTATAAGGAAGCCCAAGAATCAATACAAAAGAATCTTTTTTTCCTGAATTCGGTTCTTCAAAAAGCATTATTAGAGATGAGGGAGATATGCCTGAAGCTGCTTGAACTTAACTTCTTCGATACATCCTGTTTGCAACTCAACCCCCTCTTCCAATTCATTGAAAATCAGGTAATGGCTTTCAATTTTCTTAAATTATAATGTGTTACTGTAGCTGCTTGCAATATTTTTGGTAAATCCAAAGAACCTTTCACTAAATGTTATCGCAATATTATCAGATGCACAGGAAAGAAAGCATTCAAGCTCAACTGGCCGAATACCGCTCAAATTTTAGGGAAATTATTAATTCTGCTTGTTATGAGGCTTTGTCCCAAGAAGGCTTTACACCCCATGACAGTAACATGCGACTTTCAAGAATACAACTTCGTGAGTGAAATTTGTCTCTTTCTCCTGTTTTCCTAGCTAGAGGGTAAAATCTATAAAATACTAGTAACATTTCTCTGTCAATCTGTGTAGTTCCTGGACAACGATTACCCCCTTTAAAAGATGGTAAAATTAAGATGTCGTACACAGATCAAGCCAGGAAGAGGAGGTTTTGTTCCCGTTTGACAAGGTGATCAGTCACCCAGTTGAAATTCCACCTGTTGATTACGAGTTATTTCATTATGTTGACTTATGTTTTTTATTATTTCAGTTTTATTCATTTAGTAGACTTGTTAATCATGGATTCTTTCCACATCATCATCAAAAACTCACAAACATCCTTTGTAGGAGTTTTGAGTGAATATGTTGTTTTTACACCATCTTATGATCTTCTTGAAGAGGACGACACCTCTGCTCTATTGGAAGAACCTCGCCCAGACAAAGCACCTCAAGTAAGAATTCTGTTTAATCAAGGACGTTTTTATATCTGGCTGATTAATTATTACTTGTTTTCTCCAACACAATCTGCATATTGTGCTTGAAAAAAAAAAACTGCATTTACAGAACCCTTTGTTCATTACTGATGTTGTTTGTGAACCACAAGCTCTATTGTTGGACCCCTCAGCTGAAGTATATGATGCCATGTTTACTCAAATAATTGATTTATGGACAAATGCTTTGATGTCTATTCCAACTTTTTTGACGGATCCTTTCTTCATTCCCTTTGCTGAGTAAGGCAACACATTGGTCTGTGGATTCTAGAAGATGGTGAGAATCGGCAATTATGCGATACTAATTATGTGATCACTTTCTTTGCAGACCTGAAATTAATGGGAAAATGGAGGCAAGAGATTGTGGAAATGGGTGTGATCTTCAATTTTGTCTGAGTATTGATGAAGATGTTACTCAAACCAAGAAAGAAAGCCTTGACCTTGTTCAGAAAGCATTTCAGGCTGCTCAAACCTACATTAAACGTTTTCAATTAATGAGAGAGTTTTATAACTCAAATCTTGCAATTTCATCAGATGATCTTTCAAAAAACCAATGTATGCACCATTCATTCAAAAGTATATCTACTTCCATTGATGTTTTGCATTCTTCTTACTTATACTAATATGCACTTTTTCTATCTAAAAAAAAAGCACTAGAAGTGTTTAGAAAGAATTTATCTGAATTTTCAAGACAAGAAGATGAGCTAGAAAGATGTGTGGATGCTCAGCCTTTAGGTCTTCTGTTGGTAAAATTGAACCGTCTCAAAGAAGAAGTTTTCCCCACTAGCCGCAATTTAAGAGAGATCATAGAGGATGTGATGCCGCGGTATGGATCAGTGATTACAGTATTAAGTCAAATTTGCTTTTAAGATTTATTTTGTTTGAACTAACTTCCTATTAACTTGCCTTAGCATTGGCCGAGAAAAGGTTCAAGTTCTTCTTACCGAAATTGAGGAGAAACAATTATATATCGATCGAGATCCTGTCTTGACAAAAGAATTTGTTGAATATCTGGAGTTTTTGGAAGACATTACCAAGCGGGTGAATATTTTAAATTTACTTCTTGCTAACTAGCATTAACTTGTTCTCTACTTACATCTTGATAGATTTCCTTGTAAAGTTAAATGTGGGTATGTGTGGTTTGAACTTTACGCAAATAAATCTCTTTTCTCCTGCTAGGTGGAAGAGATGGATAGTGAACTGGACTATTGTAAGGAATTGTATGACTTATGTGATGAATATGGCATTATTGTGTCAGAGCAGGATAGTGAAGAATATTATGTGCGTATATTTCAGCTGGTCTGTTGCAACTGCGCCTCAGTTATCTCTGAACTAAAATTCTCAATACTCTTTTTGTAGAGGCTTGGTGAATGGCTAGGAACACTTCATCGAACAGTTGATAGAAAATTATCAGACAAGTTGACTCTTGTTGCTAAGTTTGTAGCTCAATGCCAAGTTGACATAAATGCCTTGCTGGATGACATCATGAAGACACATGAAATGGTCATGGTAAGATATTAAAATTTTGTTATGCTGTGTTTCTAGATGTGCACAAAACTTACTCCATCTTTGCTCTTGTGTAGGATAAAAAATTTGTTGATTCTGAAGCAAATCCAGAAGAAATACGTGTTTCTCTGGAGGAAGTGTCTGAAAAAGTTAATGAATATCAAGAAAGAGCTGGTGAAATCAAAGGATATCAAAAATCGTTCAGGGTTTGTGGAAGAAAAATAATTTGTGTTATTATACTTTGATACAGTACAATCAACAAGTAAATTTTATGTTTTCTGCAGGTCGAAGTTACTCGATTTGAAATGTTGGATGAAGTCACTAGTGAATTGCGTGTCCGACAATTACTTTGGGACAGCCTGGAGGAATGGGAAAAATCAAATCATTTCTGGATGTTATCTGACTTTTCCTCATTAGATCCTGAGGATATGATGCAGTTTACAAATAAAAACCTTAAAAATGTGCAACAGATGGAAAAGTTGCTGCCAGAAAATTTAATAGTACCACAATTCAAAAGTAAAGTGCAAGATATTAAAGATAAGGTATCCAAACCTAAGTGTTATTCATTAGTTCTCCTAACATCCAGATTAAAATATATGAATTTTCATTTTTATTCCTGTCAATTAAATTTTAGCTACCAACAATCACAAGTCTACGCAATCCTAATCTCAAGGCACGCCACTGGACAAATATTGAACAGCTGTTGAATGTTAAGATATCTCCTGATGAACCAGTGTCGCTAGAATATTTACTTGAAAAAGGTCTTATGAACTGCACAGAGCAGCTTAATGATATTGCAGCTCAAGCTAGCTCCGAAGCAGCTCTTGAGGGTTTGCTTCATAAAGTGGAAAATGCTTGGCAAGAGGCAGAACTTATTGTACTAAACCATCGTGATCAAAAGGATGTGTTCATTTTAGGAGGCCTTGAAGATACTTTTACTCTCTTGGAAGAAAGCATGATCAACATCAACACAATTTTAAGCTCCCGTCATGTTGGACCTATTAAAAGCAGAGTTGAGGATTGGCTCGATCAGTTAAAGCTTTTCTCTAAAACACTGGATGAATGGATACAATGCCAGCAAAGTTGGCTATACTTGGAGAGCATTTTTTCTGCCCCTGATATTCAAAGACAACTACCAGCAGAGGCTAAAATGTTTATGACTGTAGATAAGTCATGGAAGGACATAATGCGGCGCACAGCAAAAACACCACTAGCAATGTCGGCATGCACTTATCCTGGGTTGTATGAAACTTTTGTTAACAATAATGCTCTTCTTGACCAAGTCATGAAATGCCTTGAAGCATATTTGGAGTCGAAACGAGTTGTATTTCCACGTTTTTACTTTCTCTCCAATGACGAACTTATTGAAATATTAGCTCAGGTATTTCAAACTTTCCTGAATTATTTGTAGTTTTCTTCAATTTTTTTTTTTAATTTATAAATAATAGTATGTGATTTAACAGACTAGAAATCCTCATGCAGTTCAGCCTCATTTAAGAAAATGCTTTGATGCTATTGCTAAACTGGAATTTGGTAAAGGTGGAATCCCTGGCATTTTTGATGGAGAGGACACTGACAAGCTCTCATCTGATATAGTTGCTATGATATCACCGGAAGGTGAAAGGGTAGTACTTACCAAGGTACTGCCATTAGGTTTAAGCAGAGCTTCTCATTTTTTTAAATTTTTTTTTCAAAGCTTGGCTTTAAGTTTTGATCCATATATTCGTCTGTAGGGTCTAAAAGCAAGAGGGAATGTGGAAGATTGGTTAACTAAAGTTGAAGAATCAATGTTCACATCTCTTAGGCGAATTATGAAGGCAGCCCTCATTTCTTATGGTACTACTCCAATGGACATATGGGTTCTTAATCAACCCTCACAGGTGTGTGTTTGCCCATTGCTTCAACTAATAACTGGATTTAAGTGTATTCCCACAATGTATCTTTATATGTGTCTGCAGATCGCCCTCACTATTTCACAAGTAATGTGGGCTCAGGCAGTTGAAAAAATACTTGAAAATAAAGCAAGTGCTTTAAGTAAAATGCAAGAATTTGAAAAGAAAAATTTCACTGTAGGTTTCTATTACTTGTGGTATTCTGATTTAATTACAAGTTCAACTTTATTGAAAACTATTGAATTGCTGCTTAGGATTTAACTCTACTTGCCGGAATGGTGAGAGGGGAGCTTACCAAACTCGACCGTGCTGTTTTATGTGCTCTTATAACAATAAACGTTCATGCCAGAGATAATGTATCTGCTCTTGTGAAAAGCCAGGTGGTCGAAAGGTAAATTTTGATCCTGTAAAATGGAACAGTTGTCTTATGCCGGTGTTGCATCGGGAATGGTCACACATCAGTTCTTAGTGTTATACTTTGTTGATATCCTGCTTGAATTTGATTTTTATTCTTTCAGATCAAATTTTGAGTGGCTAAAACAGCTACGTTACTATTGGGATGATGAAATAGATAATTGTGTTGCAAGAATGTCAACTTCTCATTATGTGTATGGATATGAATACTTAGGGGCATCCCCTCGTCTTGTTATTACACCTCTGACTGATCGTTGTTATTTGTGCTTGATGGGAGCATTGCAGTTAGATTTAGGTTTGTAGTTTTAATCTCTAATACCAGATTTCAAAATATTTTCAATAAAAATGAGGAAAAGGACAATTATGGTAATGAACCTGTTTTGTCAGGTGGAGCCCCAGCAGGCCCTGCAGGTACTGGTAAAACTGAAACCACTAAGGATTTGGCTAAATCTTTGGCTATTCAGTGCGTTGTTTTCAACTGTTCAGAGGGTCTTGACTACAAGGTAAAAATATAATTTTTCAACTGTCTTGAACTTATAATCTAACAATTTTACTTATTTCCATTATTCTTTATCAGATGATGGGACGTTTTTTTTCTGGGCTAGCGCAATCAGGCGCTTGGTGCTGTTTTGATGAGTTTAATCGTATTGACATTGAGGTTTTGTCTGTTATTGCGCAACAAATTATTACAATCCGCAATGCAAAGGCTGCGAAACTTGCCAGGCAAGTGCTCCCAAAGGAGCATCCAATATTTCATATTCCTTTCACTGTCTTGTATTACTGTTGGTAGTGTTTGGAGTAGCCCACTTCCCTATTAATACTAAAAATAATTTCATCTACATTCTCCTTAGATTTATGTTTGAAGGACGGGAAATCAAGCTGGTACATCAGTGTGCTGCATTTATAACTATGAATCCTGGATATGCAGGTCGAACAGAACTCCCAGACAATCTTAAAGCTCTATTTCGGCCTATATCAATGATGGTACCTGATTATGGTAGGATGTTGTAAATCTGATTGCGTCAGTTTATAGTGCTCTATTCTGCAAGTATTTTTACAGTAACTTTCTTCTTGCTTAGGCTTGATTGCAGAAGTCATTCTTTACTCTGAGGGATTTGAGTCATCGAAGCCCTTAGCAAAAAAGATGGTTCAAATGTACAAGTTGTGTAGCGAACAACTTTCACAACAGGACCACTATGATTTTGGCATGAGGTATAAAATACTCTAATCGTTTGTGAAGTAAATTTAAATTCAGTTGAAGCCAGTGCTAAACTTGGTGTCTCCTTGCCCCCATTATAGAGCAGTCAAAAGTGTTTTGGTGATGGCTGGATCCCTGAAGAGAGCCAATCCTGATGTAAACGAAAATATTGTTCTCATCCGAGCTTTGCGTGATTCAAATTTGCCCAAATTTTTGACAGATGATGCCCTTTTATTCCAGGTTTGTTAAATTAATTTGTCATTATTTTTTAAAGTTCTGATTGGCTGATCTGAAAGTTATTTCATTATTTCAGGGAATTCTTAAAGACCTTTTCCCGGGCATTGAAATTCCTGAACAAGATTATGGTCATTTGCAAGATGCAATTGTATCAGTTATGCTTGCGTCTAATTTGCAACCAATAGAATGTATGGTCTCTAAGGTGATCCAGTTGTATGAAACCTGCATTGTACGTCATGGCGTTATGCTAGTTGGACCTACTGGTGGTGGTAAAACAACTATTATCAAGGTAAAAATAGAAACTTCCCTGCACTACACCTTTTATCTAATATTTTATCGGTATTATAATTTTATAATTCTTTATAGACTCTTGGAAATGCATTGGGTGATCTACATAAAAAGGGAATAAAAGATCCACAATTTTTCCCTGTCCATTATTATGTTATGAACCCAAAATCAATAACAATGGGTGAATTATATGGAGAAGTGAATCCTTTGACTATGGAGTGGAGAGATGGTTTGTTAGGAATTAGTGTCCGGACAGCTGTTAAAGTTAGTATTTCTAGTTGTTTTGTTTTAATAAATATTTAAGAGAACTTTAAGTCATATTTTATGTTACGTAAATTTTCTGATTGGCTATATAGAGTACTAATGAAGATCATCAGTGGGTAGTCTGCGATGGACCTGTAGATGCAGTGTGGATTGAAAATATGAACACAGTGTTGGATGACAACAAAATGCTATGCTTGGCTAATTCAGAGCGAATTAAATTAACAGCATTTGTAACAATGATGTTTGAAGTCCAAGATTTAGCCCAAGCATCCCCTGCAACTGTTAGCAGATGTGGTAAGTTTAATCCCATAATACTTTCTAACTGTGCCTGTTATAGCAGCTAAAAATCCTAAGTATTGAGTATGAAACATGTAAAATCAATAATTTTATCCTCAGGAATGGTTTATGTTGATTCAAATGACTTGAAATGGATGCCTTATGTTAAGTCTTGGTTAAGCAAACTTTCTATTTTACCAGAGGACTTAAAAGAGTTTGTGTTAGAACTTTTTAATCGTTCTGTGGATCGTATTTTGAACCATATTTTGAAGCATTGCGATCAAGGAATACCTCAGGTATCACATTCAACTTTCTTTCTTCATAATGCTTAGAATATCTAACTATATTGATTTGACCCGTATTTCAGGCAGACATGGGAAAAGTTCAAACCTTATGTGCTCTGTATGAAGCTCTGATACTTGAGCCAGGAGCAATGGATGTGACAGCAGCTGACAAATTGCGTATGAAGAACTTCCTTTGTCAGGCATTTGTCTTCTCAGCTGTCTGGGGCCTTGGTGGCAATGTAACAGAATCAGGAAGAGATACTTTCGATATTTGTATCAGAGAAATTTTTGATGACCATCCAGATGCAAGGTGGGTGGTGACAATTTTTGTTTCTTAGTTGGATGTTATTATTTACCGAAAATCTATTCTGAAATTACGTATTTTTCATTGCATGTTATTTATTTGAAAAGGTTGCCTTCTTCTGGAGACGTTTGGTCTCTGTATATTAATGTATCAGCACGTCGAATGGAACCTTGGTCGAAGGTAATGCCTTCATTTCATTATGATCCTCAAACTGCATTTTTTGATTTGCTTGTACCAACCCAAGACACAGTATGCTTTACTTATTTACTGGAAAAAATGATGACGGTGAACAAACCTGTCCTTTACATAGGAGGCACTGGTGTGTAAATTCATTTTAAGCATACAATTCCTTACTTGTAGCTTGATTGAATGTAAATTTATTTTCTTTGACCAACTTTTTTACAGGTGTTGGAAAGTCAGTGATAGCAAAATCTGCTCTCAACAATCTGGCTTCAACTAATGATTATGTTCCAGTGACATTAAATTTCTCTGCTCAAACAAGCAGTATTCGAACGCAAGAAATTTTGGAAATGCACCTTGAAAAAAGGAAAAAAACTCTTCTTGGAGCTCCATTAGGGAAGAAAGTCGTTGTATTCATAGATGATGTAAACATGCCCAAGCTAGAAGTGTATGGTGCTCAACCCCCTATCGAGCTGTTGAGGTGTGTACAATTTTCTACTAAACTATGTGAATGCTCAATGCCAAATGCCCCTTCTCATTCATCAAATGTATTTTTTTGTAGGCAATACTTAGATTTCCATGGTCTGTATGACCGAGAAAAGCTCTTCTGGAAAGAAATTAAGGATGTTATAATTACAGCGGCTTGTGCTCCGCCAGGGGGTGGACGTAATCCATTAACTCCTAGATTTGTTCGCCACTTTAGTATGCTTCACATTCCAAAACCAAATGAAGCATCACTTAAAGTTATCTTTAAGGTATGTTTTTATGAGTAGCAAAATTTACTTATTTTCAAATTGTAAATAATAATGACCCTCCTCTTTTCTTTTTTTTTACCAGTCTATTTTAAGGGGATTTTTGTCAGATTTTGTGAAGCCTATACTAGACATGGCTGACTCTGTTGTAAATGCTGCTATTGATGTTTACCAACGAATAATGGAGGATCTACTGCCAACTCCTGCAAAATCTCACTATGTGTTTAATCTCCGAGATCTCTCTAAGTGTATCCAAGGTGTTCTACAAGCAGATAATAGCAATCTAAGAGAGGCCAATGACCTTCTGCGGCTATTTTCTCATGAATGTCTGAGAGTTTTTCATGACCGACTTGTTAACATAGAAGATAAAAGTTACTTTTACAAACTATTGACAGAAGTAAACACAAAATATTTTGGCAGTCCAGTTTTAGATCTGCCAAGTGAAGATGTGATTTTGAAACCTCCTACAATTCTGTTTGGTGATTTTATGCACCCATCTACTCCCAATGATGAACGAACCTATGAAGAAATTAAAGACATGAGTAAACTGCAAAACATCCTCCAAGATTATTTGGATGATTACAACATGACAGCAGCCCGAGAAATGAAACTTATTCTATTCATGGATGCTGTAGAACATACAATTCGAATAGCTCGTATTCTTCGATCTGAAAGAGGAAATGGACTTCTTGTTGGAGTGGGTGGAATGGGAAAACGTAGTTTGACTATACTTGGTGCTCATTTAAATGGCTATAAGTAATTTTCCTTGGAACTTGACATTAAATATTACTCAATGTACATATGTCCATTGTTAACAATACTTTGTCTTACTTTCAGATGCTTTCAAATTGAGTTGGCCCGAAATTATAACCACGAATCATTCTTTGAAGATCTTCGTAAGTTGTATTTCAATGCAGGAGCTAAGAATGAAGCCACAGTCTTCCTTTTCACTGATACTCAAGTTGTTGAAGAGGAATTCTTGGAAGACATCAACAACATATTGAATTCAGGTTTTGATCTCCACCTCAGTTAATAGTTTTTTCACTGATACTCCTATTTACCTATTCATATTTTCATTCAGGTGAAGTTCCTGGACTATTTGAGAGTGACGAGCTTGAAAAAGTTATTCAAGCTGTACGACCAGCAGCAAAAGAGGCAGGCATCATGGAACATAATCGTGATGCTATCTTCAATTTTTTTATTAGTCGGGTTCGCTCCAAATTGCACCTTGTACTTTGCATGAGCCCTGTAGGGGATTCATTCAGGTAGATTTTTTTTAAATACAGTAGATGCAGAAATTTCTAAAAAATATCTTAAAGTACATGTATGTTCAAAAATTAATTTTCTTTATTTGTTGTTCTAATGTCAATGTCTCATTTTTTTGTAGGCAAAGATGTCGTATGTTCCCATCTCTGGTCAATTGCTGCACAATTGATTGGTTTTCAGAATGGCCCCAGGAGGCACTTCTATCTGTTGCTATGAATTCTCTGAAAGGACACATTGAAGAAGATCACTTGGAAAATTATGCAAATATTTGTGTCTTAATTCATGAGGTAACTTTAAATTTTAGAATGAGCAGTTGACTTTTCACTGTAGCAATCTTTATTTTAAATTGCAAATTTAACCTTGTCTTTTGACATTCTCGTCTGAACTACTGCAAAATTTTATTAAATTTTGTTAATTCAATTTATTACAGAGTGTTGGAGAGATGTCAGACCGTTTTTATGTGGAGGTGCACCGCCATTACTATACAACACCAAGTAGTTACCTGGAGCTAATTAATCTTTTTTTGGCACTCTTGGAGAAAAAACGCAAGGAAACAAGTGGACAGCGTGATCGTATTGCTAATGGTTTACAGGTACTGTAGTTTCAATCTCTAGTTAAAAGATGCCATAAATTCCTATATGGTAGTGTGCAAATTTTATAGTTAGCTAAGTGGATAAGTGGCTACACAATAATACTTAAGTGCTTTTCTGACAGAAACTGTATGAAACTAATGACTTAGTAGCTCAGATGAAGGTGGAGCTCTCATTATTAGGGCCTATCCTTAAAGAAAAATCTGATGCTACAAACAAGCTGATGGAAAAGCTAGTAAAAGAGCAGGCGCAAGCTATGGAAGTACGCCAAGTTGTTGAAGCTGATGAAGCTGTAGCTAAGGTATATCTGTATATGTATGATGTGTGCTATGCCCATTATGTTAACAAATTTTATTATTTATTATTACTCATGACACACTTTCCAAACTATGTTACACATTCAGGTTAAAGCTGATGAAACTCAAGCAATTGCTGATGATGCCCAAGCAGACTTAGACCAAGCTTTACCTGCCATGGAGGCTGCTACAAAAGCTCTTGAGGCTTTAAACAAGAATGATATCAATGAATTAAAAGTCTTTAATAAGCCACCTCCTCTTGTTCGAACTGTTATGGAGGCAGTCTGCCTGCTCCTTGGCCAAAAGTGAGTATCTATCGATATGGCAACCTGAAAGAGTTTAACACATTGAGTCCCAGGGGGGGGGGGGGGGTCGGCACCATGTGTTATTATGACCATACGTGTGGTCACGTGGGACACTCAACGTGTTGATAACTTTGATTAGAATACTTCAAACTTTTCCTAGGACTGACTGGACAACTGCAAAAGTTGTTTTGGCTGATACGAACTTTTTGAAAAAGTTGCAAGAGTACGATAAAGATCATATTCCAGATATGACATTAAGGAAGCTCAAATCATACATAGACAACAAAGATTTCATGCCAGATGTTGTTGCTACCCAATCTAAAGTTTGTAAGTCTATATGTCTTTGGGTTCGTGCAATAGACACCTATTCCAAAGTTTATAAAATTGTTGAACCAAAGAAAAAACGGTAAGTTGTTGTTTTGAAGTTATCAATAATGCTTATAAAGTATAAAATGCTGTTTATGTCCATTTGTACTATGATCTTATTAGACTGGAGCAGGCTGAGCGAGAACTTGCCACTGTAATGGCTGTCCTTCAAGAAAAGCAGCAAAAGTTGGCTGATGTTGAAGCTACTATAGCTAAACTGGAAGCTACATATGATGCAAGTTTAAGTGAAAAGATAGAACTTGAGGATAGTATTGCTTTGACATCTGCTCGCCTTGCCCGATCTGCAAGTTTGACAGCTGCTCTCGGTGATGAACAAATACGATGGGAAAGCAGTGTACAGGTAAGATTATTCCCCCCCAAAGTTTAAGACTACCGGTATGCTCTTGTAAATGTGTTTTTTGTTCTGTTTTACTTTAAAGTGCTATTTCATTCCATAGGTTTTAAGTGAAGAACTCCAGAACATGACTGGAAATGTTCTTGTTGCTGCAGCCTATTTGTCATACTTAGGTGCTTTTACAGCCATTTACAGAAGAGATCTAATCCGGATATGGTTACAAAGATGTATCAAATTAAGTATTCCAGCTTCTGCAACCTTTGAGTAAGTGTTTTGGATGCATTTAGATGAAATGTGAAATAGACCTGTCAATTTTTGTACCAAAAATGATCTATCTGATATTATTTGATTTCAGTTTGATTTCAGTTCTTGCAGATCCGTATGACATACGTATGTGGAACTCTTTTGGCTTGCCCCGCGATAAAATTTCGACTGAAAATGCTATCTTGGTTACTCAAGCTGGACGCTGGCCTTTAATGATTGACCCACAAGAACAAGTAAATTATATAGGCATCCACTGGATAATAATTCACGAGTCAATAATTCATTGCAAATCTTTTTCAAATTTAAGTAATTAATAATGTTCCAGGCAAACAGATGGATCCGGGCAATGGAGGTCAAACAGAGTTTAAAGGTGGTTAGATTAACAGACAATAACCTTTTGCAAACACTAGAAGGTGCAATGCGCCTGGGATGTCCTGTACTACTTGAAGAACTGGGAGAAACTCTAGATCCAGCACTTACACCAATTTTGTTGAGGCAAACCTATACCAAAGTAAGGAAAACTTCTGACTGAGAACAAACAAATTATCTCCTACTTATTTAAGAAATGTTGAATATAATCCTCTTTCTATTTCCCCTCTCTTCTTTGTAGTCAGGACGCCTGTTGATTCGATTTGCTGATTCTGAAATTGATTATGACCCAAATTTCCGTCTTTACATGACAACAAAAATGGCTAATCCTCATTACCTACCAGAAATATGTATTCAAGTTACTCTGGTGAATTTTACTGTCACTCTCTCTGGTCTGGAAGATCAGTTACTTGCGTAAGTAGTCACAGGTTATAATATTGAATTTCTCAGGAAAGTGTATTAAAATTGCTGTTACTTTTCAAAAATTTTGCCCTTCCAAACTTGACATATATAGGGAAGTTGTTCGCTTGGAACGTCCTGACCTGGAATCTCAACGCACTGAACTCATTACACGTATAAATGCAGATAAACAACAACTTAAAAATATAGAGGATAAAATATTACAGCTTCTTTTTCATTCAACTGGTAACATTCTTGATGATGAGGAGTTGATTGAAACTCTGAATGAAAGTAAGGTATGATAATTTCTACATGTGAGAAGTAGGGTGCATAGCATAGTCTTTGTACCAAGAACTAAAAGAAATTAAGCACAATTGTTATTCCAGGAAACATCTGCCATTATAAGTACCCGGCTTGAAGAAGCTGAAGCCACTGAAGAAAAAATTTCAATTGCTCGAGAGAAATACAGAACAGTTGCAGCACGTGGCTCTTGCCTTTACTTTGTTGTGGCCCAGCTGGGGGACATTGATCCAATGTATCAATATTCATTGAAGTACTTCAAAATGGTAACTTTTAGTTTTAAAAAGGAAAAGAGAAGTTTAATGATAAATGTGGCCATGTTTGACTGTGTTTTGTTTAGGTATTCAATACTGTGATCGAAACCAGCAAAAAGGTGCCTGACCTCAATCAAAGACTTAAGATTCTTCTTTCTGAAACAACATCTGCTGTTTACTCAACTGTTTCTAGAGGTCTCTTTGAAAGGCATAAACTAGTTTTCAGCTTTCTACTTTGTACAAGTATCCAGCAGCAGGCTAACTCTATAACAGAACCACAGTGGAATTTTCTCCTTAGAGGATTTTCAGGAAAAACATCAGTAAGTATGCAAATCTTAAATAATTTCATCAATTATCCAACCAAATTTTCATGCAGCAGTGCATTCAATTTTTTTACAGGAGGAGGATTCTATTAAACCAGATAATATAAAGATGTCAGACAACAGTTGGAAATCCATTCAGTTTTTGGCTAAGGATTTCCCAATTTTTTCTGAACTACCATCAGACTTAAATTCTCTTATTGCCGTTACTGTTGGCGATTTCCATGTGGTAAGTTCCTTTTGCTTCATAAAAACAATTTTTTGCTCTGAGGTATTCATATATTTTGCTATGCAATTAATTATGCCCTCTCCATCTAAATAGGACATCAAACTTGGAGACACTCGAAGCAGTAAAGATTGGAATGGAGTACTGGATGACTTTAGCAAGTTAATGGTTATAAAGGCATTGAAACCAGAGAAGGTCTGATTACTATGTTTGCAAGATTTGCTTTATATGTATTTAATTTCTAGTCCCTTAAAATGTTATAAGTTTTGTTATTGTCTTTTTAGTTGGTGTTTGCAATCACTGAGTTTGTTAAAAAGAAATTAGGACAAACATTTGTGGAAAGTCCTCAAGTCAATCTCAATGTTTTGTAAGTATTGAGACGCTTGAAATATTTGATATGAATGCATCGATGATTGAGAACCAACGTCTGTTTTTCAGATACCAAGACACAAATAATATAACTCCATTGATATTTGTTCTGAGTACAGGATCTGATCCTTTTGGATCATTTCAACGATTTGCTCATGAAATGGGAAACAGAGACAAAGTTCAAGCAATTTCTCTTGGTCAAGGACAGGGACCTATTGCAGAAAAAATGATTCGTTCTGCATCCCTAAGGGGTGATTGGGTCTTTCTGCAGGTACGTCAAGAGACGCTATTCGGTGCGAAGTTTATTTTAATGTATTTTGTCAAAACGTGTGGACTAATTGAGAGTTGTTCTTTTTTCCATCCATAGAACTGCCACCTGGCTGCTTCATGGATGCTTCCATTAGAAAGATTAGTTCAGTCTCTTGCAGAAGCTCCTGATAAGGTTCACAATGATTTCCGACTTTTCCTCAGTTCCTCACCATGCCAAGCTTTCCCAGTGTCTGTTCTTCAGAACTCTATCAAAGTAACAAATGAACCTCCAAGAGGATTAAGAGCGAACATTAAAAGGGCGTTTTTAGAAATAACTGAGGATTTCTTTGAAGACAATCGTATGAACTCTCACTTATTTCTTCCTTATCTTTGTAATGATATTGTCTTTTTTGTTTTTGTGTTTGTTGAATTTTGTCCAATTTTCAGCTCTTGGGGCAAGTTGGCGCAAAATGATATTTGGAATTTGTATTTTCCAAGCAGTCATTCAAGAACGAAAGAAGTTTGGTCCCTTAGGCTGGAATATTATTTATGACTTCAGTGACAGTGACAGAGAATGTGCTCTACTTAATCTAAAGCTGTTTTGCTCTGAAGGGTTCATACCCTGGGATGCTCTGGAATATATTACTGGTAAAACTGAAATTTAGAAACTCTCTTCCAAAATAAAATCTTGGTTGAATATCATAGTAAACAATCATGATCCATGTTCACAGGTGAAGTTACATATGGTGGACGTGTTACTGACAATTGGGACCAGCGATGTTTGAGTACAATTCTCAGATGCTTTTTCTCTGAGAAAACATTAGAGCCTGGCTACAAATTTTCTCCCTCTGGTATATACTTTTGCCCTGATTCTGAACAGTGTAAAAGTCTGGCTGCATACCGCAATTTCATCAACAAACTCCCTATAATTGATTACCCTGAAATATTTGGAATGCATGAAAATGCAAACATTGCATTTGAGGTGAAAATTATAAAATATCTTGTTTTGTACAATTTATAATTGCAATTCAATTTTATTTGTTGACCAACTGCTACATCACATCAACAACTGTTTTACTCGTGTTGATTGTTGACAGTTAAATGAGTCCCAGACTATTCTTCAAACAATACGTAGTGTGCAGCCACAGGAGTCAGGTGGATCTAAAGCTACATCAACCGATGACATTGCTTTAGAATTGTCAAAAAGTATAGCTCTTCGAATTTTAGAGAAACTGAATCCTGAGGAAATTCATCCTTCACTTGCAAAGGTGCATCTTGATATAATTTTATTTATCTTTGAAACAGCCAAACGGGATTAGAAATGGTGCATTAATTTTGTTGTTTTCATGTAGAGGGACGAAGAAGGACGTTTACCTTCTTTGACAACAGTTCTACTCCAAGAAGTTGAGCGCTTCAACAAATTACTTCATGTACTGCATTTGTCTTTGTCCAATTTAAACCGGGCTATCAAGGGATTTGTTGTTATGTCTGAGAGTCTGGAAGAAGTTTATAGTGCCTTTATCAATAACCAAGTAAGATATTACAATGTTATTTCATTGTTCTAAATTACTACTACTAGTGCTGAAGTAAGGCTTTCATGTCAAGTTTCTTCTGCATTTTTTGTTATAATGTCTGGGGTATTTTTTTTCAAGGTCCCCAAACTTTGGTCAAAAGCTGCTTACCCTTCCTTGAAGTCTTTATCAAGTTGGATTCTTGATCTTGAACTTCGATTAGACTTCATAAAGGTAATGCAAAGGCTTACTGGTGTGTGGAATTTTCTACTTCAGTCCACATAATTGTTCTTCTTCTCCAACAGTCATGGCTTACAACTGGACCACCTGAGTCATTTTGGCTATCTGGATTTTTCTTTCCTCAAGGATTCTTGACAGGTGTACTCCAAACTCATGCTCGTAAATACACACTGCCCATTGATGAACTTGTATTTGATTTCAAGGTTGATAGCACATTAATACACCAGCACGAAATTGCACTCGATCGTAAAACAAAAGGAGAGGTATGTGATTGTTTTCATAACATATTATTACATTTCTTAGTAAAAAAATTA